CCAAGGGCTCATGTAACCGAATGAAAATCTTCAACATATTTGTGGTTGCAATGCAGGTAAATTCATTGCCTCTGTAACCTAGAACGTGAACCTATATGAAAATGAGCTAGCAATGCTTCACTTTATGAAAAGAACCACAGAAGTGACCACCGACTAGCCACGGATACGATATGGCAAAAACTTGGCACAGTGTGCGTGGCAATAGCACAGCTGCTGAGGTTTCGGTAGAAGTTTGTGTGGCCACTTCAACATCTGCCATGCCGTTTGTTCACACATGCAATGAAGAGAGAACGCGCTGGAATCAATATCTGGTGATGTCACGCTGCTGGTGGAAGCATGCAAATTAGCAAGCTGGACATGGATATGTCTGCTTTCGCTAACACAGTCTTTTCTGCTGGTGTTTTCACCGCCGGATAATCACATGAGCGCCAAGCGCGACTTCATAAGGAAATGAACGGCAATTTCAGAACGTTCCAAGTGCGACTGTAGAGACCTAAACCTAAAAAACAATTTTGTTCTTTTTCTTAGAATAGTTGTGCTTAAGCTAGCCTTAAACTATTGTATGTCCCTAGACACACCATACTCAAGATAAGACCATTTTCATCCATACCTGACATCTAGGAAATCTTGTTTTTATACCAAATGCCAACTGAAAGTCATGTGGCACTTTTCACTTGAGCTCAGAACTGAGGCGGTCTACTGTCCAGCCTACCTCAAGCCTCACTTAATGTCCAAACGTAGACGGTCCAAGCCCGCATTCTTGCAGTGCGTATTCGTAACGTCCGTGATTGATTGATCTTAATGCGACCACAAAACCGAGCGTCCTCTTCAAACTCCGCCTCGTCTCCCCTGACCGAGCCGACAACTCGCGGCGTTGGCCGGAGCGGGGCAGCAGCTGCTGCCGCCGCTGCAGGGCAGGGCTGGCCAGCTGCGAGGCACGTGCACAGGTATGCGGTGGCCAGGGTGCGTGTGCGACCCGGACGGCCGGCCTGACCTTGCTCAGGGCGGCGGCGGGAAGAGGGCGAGCGCGCCACTATATAAGACACGGGCGACCTTCACACCCAGTTGTAGTCTCCGCGCCGCAGTTGGCCCGCCCAGACACGCTCGCCCAGAGCGGCGCCGCACGATGAGGCTCCTAGCACTGGTGAGTGGCCGACCCCGCCGACCGGGCTCACCGGATGATCTGCAGTCAGATGCTCGCGGGCCGAGGCCATAGGCTCAGAGATCAGGAACCCTTGACGTGCTGGGGTCAAGCGAAGGGGTCACTTTATCGGTGGTCAGTTGATACCATTGCAATATTGACAGCTCCAAAATAAATATGAATTGCTCTGGTCATGTGCACTATGCAGCGTACATGTGCATGATTTTAAATCCATTGTACCCTAAAACCTATTGCAACGGCTTTGCTTGCCATGGTCACGCTATGCACGACCTATTTCGCTTGCCAAAGTGAATTTCTCATCCAGTTTTGGACAAACATTTGAGAAAAAGGAGATTCATGTGCATTAGTTATCCAGTCGCACTATTGGCAAGTTTTGTAAAGGCATACGAGGATTTGGACGTTGCTATTAGCTGTAAAGCATTAACTATGCAACCAAGAAAAGGGACAATGTTCTTTGTTCGATATTATGTGCAAGTTGTACACGTCTGAAGATATTTGATTTCTCCTCCATCGATTTGTTCGAATATTCGTGTACCGTGTGTCCATCGGACCTATTCAGCTTTACGACTGTGATATACCAAGTGAAGACGCATATTTTTCCAGTTCTGTTTGTAATGCTTAACATGTAGACTAAACATGTGATCAACGTCATTTGGAATTTTAGTTTGTAAATAGCACGTACGACCTGACCCGACCTGTGTTGCAACTTTCACGTGGAGCTGTCCGGCGTCGAGTTTCTACCATGCCATTCTAGGTAAATTGAGCAATCCATCGGTGGAGAACCAAAGATTCTTTTCATTACCTTGCATTACAATGATCACGTCCACTGAGCCTGAGCAGGACTCGGTAGGTCGCCGTCTAGACTCAGCCTGAGCAGGGCTCGGCAGGTCGCCGTCTTGACTGAGTCCGAGCGGCGCTTCTCGAGCGTTGCTGTCTCCATTAGTTCGCCTCGCTCGCCTGGCGCCTGTCGCAACGGCGGGGCCGAGGACGTGAGAGCGCCGAACTTTACGACGCTCTGGCGTGTGAAAGTGTTAAATGAGCATAAATACGGTGTGTCACCGCTGCTATGCCTCAATGCGATGGGACTGGTCCCGGCTCAGTCTCGCTCAGCGGAAGCTTTGTGACTTTGGCACCGGTATCCCAGTTCGGCGTTCCGACAGTCTGCATCGGTCGTTAGCATTGACAAAGTCTTGCCAACGTGCAAGAGGTAAATTCGGTTCTCCTTTCCGACTGGTTTATTAGACGCTGCGAAATCTCCAGTTTTCGACATACTTGGCGTGAAATGGCATTATTTGTATCTTTGACCAGCCTTTCAATTGTAGCTGACTTTGAGGCAATTATAGTTTTTGCTGCGTTATCGGACAACATAAATCCAACAGAGCTTTCGTTGCAGGCTGTTTTTACAATGGCTTCCCAAAATGAACAACCCGTAGTATTGATGTGTTACACATGCGTATAATTGGGACCTGATGTTCAGAAAGTGGGGTTGTATATTCCTGCGGGGCACGGGGTAACTGCGGGGTACGGGGTACTCTCGATTCATGTGATGATATTTTGGCATCAATACCTGGGATATAAATTACCTGGACAGGGGCTTCAACGTCTCGATTCATGTGATATTCTCTGGCTCAACTCAGTCCTCGGGATATAAATACCTGCCACGAGCTCATCCAGGATTGCGCTTCAATCGAGGTCTCGTCAATAATCTGATCTCTGCCTGGTCTCTTCTCTCTACTCTTCTCCTCTCTCTCTCTCTCTCTCTCTCTCGCTCTCTCTCCTCTCTCTCTCTCTTCTCTCTCTCTCTCTCTCTTCTCTCTCTCTCTCTTCTCCTCGCTCTCTCTCTCTCTCTCTCTGCCCCGTGTCTTCCTCTCCTCCCTCTACTGTGTTATCAAGAAGCATGATATATTAACCGGTTAGAGTGCCCAAGATAATTGTACATGTTTGGGTCTCCCTCCAGTTATAAATCAGTCAGCCTCCCGCCACGCAAACGAAAACTTCATGCCACAATGCACTGCTAATTTGTCTGCAGTCACTTGAGTGCACCTACTTCGTCATGAATAAAGCTTGAGGAGCTACGAGTTACTTTTTCGTGGTGCCATAACCTACCAGCTGCTTAAGTTGGTCTTCACATAAACACCTATCTGGTTTCGAAGATCCCAGGCTCTTGTGAAACCGATTGGGCGGCCGGTCGGTAACCGATCCCAGCATAAGCACAGTGGCCATCGGCGGACAGCCGAGCCGCCGACATGGCCCAGTTTCTCAACCGACCAGCGGTGGTCCCCGGGCGCCCGTCGTCCGCTTCCCGCTCAAGGTGACGCCGCCAGCAGCCGCCCCCGGCTCGGCGCCGCCCCGCCCGTCTGCACCCGAGGGCGCGCCACTGGCGCCTTCGGCGGCGGCGACGGAGAACGCCTCGGCGGCGTTTCGGCTCGGCGACCCGTGACGTAATCGGGCACAGGTCTCCACGGGGGTTAGCCTGGTTTCGACACGGGGTCTATCTGAGCATCTCGAAGTCATGAATGAAAGTCCCCGGCGCCGTTGAACAATTTCGTTGCGCAATTTCGGCAGTATATAGTGCAAGTGCGGGTAGGCGAGCGGTGCTGGCCGCGGCGGTCGAGCCGCGCGGCTGCCGGGCTCCGGCTCTGGGAAAAACCTGGCCTGCAGGTCCACTTTCAGAGGTGGAGTTCTGTGGCGTTGCGTCACTGCAGGAGACCGATCTGGTCGACACTTGTCGCGCCGCGGCAAAGACAGACCACACGGCTCCCACAGACTGCGTTGCCACAGCGTGAGCCGACGAGCGATGGGAGATGACTGGGTGGTGTTGTTGCCATGGGCTGCGCTTGCGATCTGCTCTGCGGGCATCTTCAACGGTATACCGGCCTATCCAAAATATTTGTCATTTGCGCGTGGAAAATTATGGCTCACTCTCCTGATTCATGTGGTATCTTTGTTTTGCCAGTAATTTTTTGTCATACTCTAAAAATTCTAAGTTTGGCCTTAACACGATTATGGGAGCTCTTTCCGATATTTTTTGCCTTTTGGACCTACGTGAAGTGATTACTATTCTACGGCGCTTTCACCATGGCAGGATTTTACTCCAAGCATCACGGCTGAATTAACCCAAGGCAAAAAAGTAACAATGCTTAAGGTATGCAGGACTCGTTGGGGAAGGAATGCAGCACTGTGGTTTCGAATCCACATTATCTCATCACTCTTGAAAACATGTCTATAGAGCAGCCTTTTGGCAGGATGAACTTTCGTAGGCAGTTATCGGCCTGGACGCGATCACGATCCACCACGAGGACCGTTACGCTCCGACTTTCATGCGGGCTGTCGATATGAAAGATTGTGTTGTCGGTGTCGCCCCTTGTGATCGTGTCATGTTTTGCCTTCGTGTCGCGCCTGTTGTCTCCTCCGCCTTTGGTCTCTAAGGCGTCGCCGTCTGCCGTTCACGGCAGCAAGCTTTCACCCTGTCCGCCGTTTTGGCCAAAACTCTTCCCATGACCCCCGGGATCCGACAGTGTGCCTGCCATTTGGGTCGTCGACTGACTTCCTCAGTTTCACCCTGCAGATTCTTGGGGCGCGGCGTCGTGCAGCCCCTTCTCTGCGAGGCCCGTGCCTCACCCTCTCACTCTCGCCGGCAGCTTCTGGTGGGTGCGCTGTTGAGCGCCGCACTGGCCCAGGAAGGACAGCCGGAACGAGGGCCGCGGCCGCGGTCGGACCCGCCTCATCTCGCGCCAGCGTCTGGCGGATGTCATCGACGGCGCCGTGGTCGAGGAGAGCGGCGAGGGCGGTCGCAAGCGCGTGCTGGTGCGCCGGCCTGGCAGCGCGCGCCGCCGCGTCAAGGTGATCCGCCGGCCCAGGCCCAGCGCCACCACGCCCGAACCGGCGCCGGCCGTCGAGACCACGGCCGCGCCGCCCGTCACCACGTTCGCGCCGAGCCTGGCGTCCGTGTTCGCTACCAGCGCGCCGCCCGCCTTCACCACGGAGCCGACGTTCCGCGCGCCGCCGGCCTTCAGCGCCAAGCCGGCAACGTTCGCGCCGGAGCCGGCGTTCGGGTCGGAGCCGGCGCAGCAGCTGTTCGAGGAGGAGGCGCCGGGCCGGGCTGCGCGGCAGCGCTTCTCATCAGGCCGGCGCCTGGCGACGCCGTCGGTCGCCGCGCCAACGACAGCGCCGCGCCGCCAGAGGCCGGCCGAGGCCCAGTCCTCTGGCCGCCAGATCAACCGGAAGGAGACGGTGGTGGGCACCATCCGTAACTACTCGTACTACAACGAGGACGGCTCGTACACGTTCGGATACGAGGCGGAGGACGGCTCGTTCAAGGAGGAGACGCGCGGCGTGGACTGCGTGGTGCGCGGTAAGTACGGCTACATCGACCCCGACGGCGTGAAGCGCGAGTTCACCTACGAGTCAGGCAACCCATGCGACGAGGAAACCACGGAATCGGCACAGTTCGACGAGCAGGGCTTCCCAATCCTGGACGAGGCGGGTCGCCTGGAGGGCGGCGTGGACCCGCTCGACGACCAGCCCATCCGGAAGCCCAACATCCAGTTCATCTCGCAGACTAAGGAGGAACCGCTGGCCGAGGAGGAGCTGCGCCAGTTCCGTGTGAGCCGCCGGCGACGGCCGGAGAGCAGCAGCCGGCGCCGGCCGGTGGTGCAGGCCGAGCCGGTCGAGCTGGAGCCGCAGCCGAAGCCGCAGCCGAAGCCGATCACCTTCCGGCCACGCCCGGCGGTCACCTTCCGCCAGGAACCGGAGACGAGGCGGCCGCCGCCGCCCCCGACGCAGCGCCCGCAGCCGACCTTCAGCTTCCAGCCGGAGCCGGAGACGAGGCGGCCGCCGTCGCCCCCGACGCAGCGCCCGCAGCCGACTTTCAGCTTCCAGCCGGAGCCGGAGACGCGCCCCCAGCCAGCCTTCACGTCGCCACAGCCGCGGCCAGCCGTGGCCACGTCGAGGCCGCAGACCGGCGCTACCGTCTTCAGCTTCGACGAGGAGCTGCGCAACCTGCAGACGAAGCCAACGTCGGCGCCAGCGCCGCCCCCACGGCGCCCGCTTGACAGCGGCGACACGGACCTGACGCTTAGCCGGCCGTCCGGCCCGGTCAGCGGCAACTTCGAGCACCAGCTGGTGTTCGACCCGAACACGGGCAAGCACCGCACCGACCTCGTGCAGACGCTGCCCGAGGGCACTGAGATCCGCATTGGCGAGCACCTCAACTCTTTCTCCAGCCGTCCACGTACCACCACCACCCGGCGCCCTGCCACGTCGCCGTTCCAGAACTCGGTGTTCCAGTCGTTCAACTCGGCCCAGCCCAGCCGTCCGCCGCCGCCGCCGCCGACGCGTCCGCCGACGCGGCCGCCGACGACCACGCGGCCCACTCGCCCGCCGTTCAGCGGCTTCAGCCAGCCGCAGCAGCAGTTCCGGCAGCCGCAGCAGCAGCCGCAGCCATTCCGGCCGCCGCCGCAGCAGGCGCCGCGCCAGCCATTCTCGGTCTTCAACACTCTGCCGCGCCCGCAGCAGCCGCAGCAGCAGCAGCAGCAGCAGCAGCAGGTGTTCTCCGTGTTCAACCAGCCGCGGCCGCAGCTGCAGCCGCGCCCCCAGCTGACTCCGCAGCCGCAGCCGCCGCGCCCCCAGTCCAGCTCCAGCTCCAGCAGCCCCACGCCCAGCGCCGGTGGCGCGCGTCCCGTGCAGCAGGTCAGCTTCGGCACCCAGGTGGCCAATCCCGTGTTCGCCCGCTTCGGCGTGCCGCAGCCGTTCAGCCCGTTCGGTGCGCCGCCGCAGGCGCAGCAGGGCCAGTTCCGGCCGCCGCAGCCCATCAACTTCTTCGGCCGAAACTGAGCGCGGCGTGACGTCACCGTCGGATGTCGCGGCAAGCGGCTGCTCGGGCCAGCTGGCGGCTGACACGGTCAGGCTGGTGTTGACAAAGTAGTGTGTCAGGATACTGTTGTTAT